GACGCCTCAATCGTGATGTCTTACCACTGCAAGAACAGCAAATTTGTACATTGAAAGTATAATTTGTCAATAAATTCAATTGTAATATTATTCGTCAATGTGGAATTTTGTATACAAGATTGAAGAGTTGGCTTGAAAGCTAGAGGAGATAATGTCGAAAGAATGACCTGCAGAACAAAAAAGCACGCTTGAGCTACGAATAGTATCACTGGCGAAAGAAAGCGCAGCATCAACACCGGCAGCATTATTAAAAGCAAAAGAAAGCACTGCTAACTCTATAGTGTCATTAAGAAAAGAAAACAGGGCTAAAAGCCCAACAAAGTCTTCAGTTTGCTAGATTCGGAAACACTCTCTTAGGAGCACTTTCGCGCCATTGTTATTATTAGGTGCGGCTTATACGCTGGAAAATAGGGTAAATAAGTTGTTGCATAACTGCCCACATTCTTGCATTTGTGGAAATTAGTACTTTGAAAATGAGCATGTATGAGTGCACCCTTGCTCAAAGAATCTCTACCATTAGCATCAGGATGTATGGACACTTATTTTGTCCTTCCACGCTCCAAAAAAGGCGCAAATCGCCACGTCGAGCCAGCCGATAAACTTGCATTACAGTCTTGGTCAAGCTCACCGTATCGAAAAATATACAAAACATTGCTAAAGTTAAAAAAAAAATCGAACTTTCACCACACCCCAACTGTTTAGCTGCATCACCATGTCACAAAAGAGAGGTTTAGAAGAAACAGTGCGAAATCTTTGGATTTTTCCTCACCTTTAATAGCTTTTTCGTAGCGTTTACGATGCGTTTAACAGCCGAAAGCTCGCTAAATTCATAAAAACTGAGCTGATCGAAAAAAAAATGATTCTGTACTTTATAACGCTCTGAACTTGGAATTTACAAAATGGACAGCGCTGATGCAGCAACCTAGTGAGTCTGTAAGGGTTTTCATTAATTGTTTGGTGCCACCGAAGGACAAGAACTAGCTTGCCATACCAGAATTAGTCTTAAACTAGTGCTGGTTTCCACAACTGAACGTGAACTGGTTAACATGCAGTTTAAGAAGACATCTACGCTCGATAGGAGTCAGCGTACGTTTAGACAATTTCATTTCATTTGATTTCAAAACAACTTTGAATATCTGCTTATCGGTCTACTGGATAAAGGACATTTAATTTGGCCTTAAATGACACTGATTTTGGTCGCATATAGCAGGACTGAGACGGCAGGATGCCTCCAAAACTACTCCCATCAATTCTATATGTACAATAAATATATCTCAGACATTTAGAGTGTAACTTTGGAGCAAATTCGCATTTATTACGTTGGGTCATTGACACAGTACCTGACCATGCAAATTAGAAGCGGAAAAATGCCTCTAACTTCGTCCAGTAAACCAATAAGCAGATACGGACGGTTGTTTTGTGATCAGCTTCAAAGACCTTTCGATTGATATACATTCCACAGCATGAAGCGAATCATCAGTCTCCCTCAGTTACTGTAAGATTACGGTAGAAATTTTGCGAAGGATTTTT